CGAGGACCCGAAGACATGCCGGGAATTGATCCGGACCTCATCTGCCACAAGTTGGCCGTTCGGCCTGATGCCAGGCCAGTCCAACAGAAGAAGAGATATCAGGCGGCCGAACGGCGGGAATTCACAAAGCAGGAGGTAGCCACCTTACTGAGAATCAGGCACATTAGACCAGTCATCCATGTCGAATGGTTGGCTAATGTGGTCCTTGCTCCAAAAGGAGCTACTTGGAGAATGTGTGTGGACTACTCTGATCTGAACAAAGCCTGCCCCATGGACCCCTATCCTGTCCCACGAATAGACCTGCTGGTGGACGAAACGGCAGGATGTGAACTGCTGAGCTTTATGGATGCCTTCCGGGGTTATCACCAAGTCTTCATGCACCCAGATGATGCAGAAAAAACTGCGTTCGTCACCTCGGACGGCGTGTTCTGCTATATCGTCATGCCGTTCGGGTTGAAGAATGCGATGGCCACTTTTCAAAGAATGATCAGCATACTCTTCAAAGAGGTACTGGGGGTAACCATGGAGGCATATGTAGATGACATCCTAATCAAGAGCAGGAAGAAGGAGGATCATGTCCGGGATATGGAGAGGGTCTTCGGGATCATGCAGAAGGCCAACATGAGACTGAATCCAAAAAAGTGCGCCTTCGCAGTCAAGGGGGGCAAATTTTTGGGTTATATGATGAGCGAGCGGGGGATTGAGCCTAACCCTGAGAAAGTAAAGGCAATCATGGACATGGAAGCACCGCGGAACTTGAAAGAAGTTCAGAAATTGACCGGAAGGTTAGCGGCTTTGAGCCGATTTATGGCTAAACTGGCCGATCGCGCCATTCCATTTTTCCAAATAATGAAAAAGGCCAACCCGTTCGAATGGACAACAGAATGTCAGGCAGCTTTTGAAGAATTCAAATTGTACCTATCTTCCCCCTTGGTCTTAACTAAAGCAGACCCAGGGGAACATCTTTATATGTATCTAGCTGTGGCTGATCTGGCGGTCAGCTCTGTTTTATTAAAGGAAGATGAGGGCGTTCAGCGCCCTATATACTTTGTGAGCAAAGCCCTGAACGGGCCAGAAACCAGGTACACCCTACTGGAGAAAACCATTTTAGCATTGATTGCTACCATCAAGCGACTGGCACCCTATTTCCAGGCCCACCCAGTCACCATCTACACCACCCAGCCCCTGTCCACCATACTGAGAAATCCTATGGCAAGCGGGCGTATCACCAAGTGGTCCCTCCTGATCGGGCAGTATGAAATAGACTTCAAGCCTCGCCCCACGATCAAGGGACAGGCTTTGGCTGACTTCATTGCCGAATGCACTGCCAGATCAACTGAAGAAGGATCGAACGGAGGAGTACAGGACCATTGGTGGGAAATGTATGTGGATGGGGCATCCAGTAGCAAAGGCTGTGGTGGGGGTGCTGTGATCACATGCCCCGAGGGGTTCAAGGCATACTACTCCGTACAGTTTGACTTCAAGGTAACCAACAATGAGGCCGAGTATGAGGCCCTTATTGCTGGTTTAAAGTATGCCAAGGCCCTGGGGGCTAGCAGATTAAAGGTCCGTTCGGATAGTCAGCTGGTGGTAAGCCAGATTAATGGATCTGCCGAGGTTAGGGAAGAACGGCTAAAAGCCTACAAGGAACTGGTTGAGGAAGAAATCGGCAGGTTCGAACAGGTGGTGATTGACCAGATTCCCAGAATCGAAAACAGTGAGGCAGACATCCTATCCAAACTGGAATGCGCCGTTCGAGATGATCATGCCCCGGGCATCCCTGCACACATCCAGAGGTTCGCACAGAAAGAAATACTGACCACACCGGCAACGATGGTTGTGCGGGTAGATGCCGTGTCCTATGCCGTTCCAAGTTGGGTCACTGACTTGACAAATTACCTGAAGGATGGGACTTTGCCGAACGATAAAAATGACGTATACAACCTCACTTGTATACGGCGAAGGGCCCCAATGTTCGAACTAGTGGACGGACAGCTGTACAAAAAGACATTCGGGGGGCCATATCTGAAATGCCTTCCACCCGATCAGGCAGCCGCTGTGATGGAAGAAATTCACGAAGGTATCTGCTCCAGCCATCAGGGGCCAAAAACCCTGGCTAGGAAAATTATCCTGCAGGGTTACTATTGGCCAACTATTCAGCAGGACTGTTTTGGGCACACAAAGAAGTGCAAAATATGTCAGCTCTACGCACCAGTACCTGGGCGGCCTACGACCTTTTACACTCCAATGACCATATCATTACCATTCGCTAGATGGGGGATCGACTTGCTAGGGCCCCTACCTAATGCGACCGGAGGAAGGAAGTACATCATAGTAGGAATTGATTACTTCACCAAATGGGTGGAAGCCGAACCCCTGGCCAGTATCACGGATTTTCAATACCAACGTTTTGTTTGGCAGAATATTATATGCAGGTTCGGGCTGCCCGAGCAGGTCATCACGGATAATGGACGACAGTTTGTGAGCAAGAACTTCGAGGAATTCCTCACTAGATGGGGAATCAAGCATTCAAGGGCTTCCGTAGCATATCCGCAGGCGAACGGGCAGGTAGAGAACATGAACAGAACCATCATGGATGGTATAAAAAAGAAGCTCGAAGATTACGCATCAACCTGGCCCGAACAGTTAAACTACGTCTTGTGGACATACAGGACAACTCCCCGAACAGCAACCGGAGAGACACCGTTCGCCCTCGCTTATGGATTTCAGGCTAAGGTCCCAACTGAGGTCTTGGTGCCCACTCACAGAACCATCCACTATGATCCTGAGCAGAACGAGGACAATCTGCGTGCTGAACTCCACTTCATAGAAGAAAGAAGGGATCTCTCGGCCTTACGAATGGAGGAATATCACCGGGCAACTAAGAGGTATGTGGATAAGCAGGCTAAAATCCTTTCGATCGAAATCGGAGACCTTGTCCTGAGGAATAGAGAAAAAAGCAAACCGCTAGAGGGCGGGAAAATGTCGAAGAGTTGGGAGGGACCATACCGGGTCTGGAAAAAATACCGGATGGGGACCTTTTCCCTACAGGATACCGAAGGCTGTCCGGCAGGGATATGGAACGCTACGCACCTGCGGAAATTCTATCAATAAAAAAAAAAAAACGGCTGTTGCCACCTCTAAAAAAAAAAAAAAAAAAAAAAAAAAAAAAAAAAAAAAAAGAAGAAGAGGGAGAACAATGCTTCCAAAGAGGCCAGAGTTAAGAAGAATATTGCGAACGGCATCAACATGCCGAACGGCATCACCACAAAACTCAGCCAAAAGTCTCACCTTGATCTATGAATGTCATTTATCTCGATCAATGGGGAGCCATCATCTCAGCACAAAAAAAAAAAAAAAAAAAAAAAAAAAAATATATGTGCAGGATACCAAGCCCGGACTCGGCTTGGGAGATGGTGTAAAAGATCTTGAGTAGGACGAACCGGGCGGCATCCGAAGTCATAGGGTGACCGAGCGGGGGATCGGGACTCTGGTCTTAAAATCTTGCCTTGGCCATACAGCTCGCCTGAACATTATGATGGTGGAACCCGAGCTGTATCCTAGAGGCGAGTCTCCATTTTGGCAGAGAATAAGGGGGAGACCCGAATTGGGAGCCTTATTCTCAACGGTCCAGGATGGACATCTCAACCTCATAATATGGGTGACCCCGGACGGTAAAACCGACGGTACGCATCGAAATTATGGGCTTGGAAGATGGCAGACACTACACGCATTGTGGAACTGTCTTGCAGCAAGAGGTGATTGCCTTGCGAACAAGGAAAAATGCGGATGATAACCCGAACAGGTTATTTTACGCGTCCAGGGAACAACCAGTCGACGGTAATAAACCGGACGGCATGCATCTGAAACATGGTGCTCGGGGGCGCAGCAAGCATTTAACATTGATGACTTACGCGTTCAGGGAACAACCAGTCGACGGTAATAAACCGGACGGCATGCATCTGAAACATGGTGCTCGGGGGCGCAGCAAGCATTTAACATTGATGACTTACGCGTTCAGGGAACAACCAGTCGACGGTAATAAACCGGACGGCATGCATCTGAAACATGGTGCTCAGGGGCGCAGCAAGCATTTAACACTGGTGACTTGTGCGTTCAGGAAATAAAGAACAACCGGCGGAAATCAACCGAACGGCTTGCACCTCAACTTTGGTGATCAGAAACAGGTCGAACAGCTTATGTCTCAATCATGATGCTGAGTTCAACAAAAAAAAAAAAGGGTGTTCGGGAAGCAAGTCATTCGGAAACAGATCAGTCTTTATTCTTCGGCACTACTGACCGGGAATTATACATGAGAAGAAAAAAGAAAAGAGTACAACAGAGATAACTAAGCTACGGGAGGATCCTTGTCCGGCACGGCATCCGGGTTGGAGTTCGGGGGATTGGCTGAATCTTTGGCCTTCTGCCTCTTCTCCATCACCCGTTGATAAGCACGGCAGAATAAGGGATCGAAACCTTCCTCCTTGGGGTCGAAGGGCTCATCGAACGATTCCTTGATCACCTCCAGATTCCGGTCGACCAGCATATCCTGGCACTTAACAAGGGTGTCCCTTGCTAGAGCATTGGCGAAGGCTGTGCCGGACGGGGTCTCATCAAGAAGCTTGAGGCCATCATGTAATGGGTCCTTGCTCCTCTCTAAGAATTCGCCCAGATGCTTGCCGAGGAACTCCCGAGCAGTATTCTCCAAGGCGAGGTTCAGGCCTTTCCCCCTTTGGAAGTCAATCACCGCCTTCGTGGTGATTTTTGAAACATCGGCGGCATAGGGGGCAGGGGGATTATCCCCCTTGGCCTTCTCAATTTTCAGGCCAGCAGCTTCGGCAACCTTCACCTTGGCACGCAGATCACGGATTTCCCGATCGCGTCGTTGGAGCCTCTGCTCCAGTTCGGCCAGCTCCTCCCTGGCTTTGTCACCCTTGTCGGCTCGATCTTGGAGATCTGCAGCCATCTTCCTAGCAGCAGCCAAAAGGGTTTGGCTCTCATCCAACTCCTGATGAAGGAGGGTCATCTCCCGTTCAGCTGCTAGGAAGGCCCGGTGATAGTATGTACCGGCCTGTGAAAAAAGAAACAGCAGTAAGAACAAATCCAAAAAATGTTATGAAAAGGAAGAACTGAACAGTCAAAGGCATACCTTAAGGGACTCAGCATGGCCTGCTTCGACCAAATCAGACCAATGGGTCAGGTTGGTGAAACCCTCTCCAGCCTTCAAGGAGGTGCTGCACCACATGGAGGATGCAGTCTGCCCGAACAGCGTCCGGCATTCGGCTCGGGGGCCCATGGCGGAAAACTCCACCGTCAACCGATCGGGGATCGGAAGACTATCTGAAGCAACACCTCCCCTGTTGCCCAGCTTCCTTGAAGGGGAGGGGACCGGAGGCATCCTTTCCACATAAGGGTCCGTCAAATCAATAACATGATCGACCGGGACCAAGGCTCTGCTCTCAATCCTTGGCCGCTTGCTAACAGGCCCAGATTCCCGGCCGGCGGAAGAACCTGGCTGAATAGCCTTCTCCCTTCCCTTGCTGACTATGGCGGTGGAGGGAGTAGGAGCAGGACGCTTTATGGAGACGGGGGGAATCACACCTACAGGAAAGAGCAAAGGGAAATGAATAAGAGATTGACAAATATACCGAACGGACAAAATAAGGGAAGGAACATACCAATGCCAGCAGCTAGCATCTTAGCAGGAGTCAAGAAGGACCGCAGGTTCTTGGAACCGGCCAGACGGAGCCTTTCGTACTGGCAGACGATAGTTGCATCCACCCTTGGGGAGGCATCCTGAACGGGGTAGGTGTTCCACCGATCAGGGAAAGGAAGCGGCGACCCCACGTGTACAAACACAAATCGTTCCTCCCATTTTTCCGGAGGGGTGGGGTTGTCGGTGAAGAGCGAACGGCCAGGGCGGGCCACAAGCCGCAGGTACCCGGTGGTCCAATAGGGCTGAACGCCATAGCAGTGCAAGAAGAGATCGGCGCTAGGGGCAATCCCCAACTCATGGCACCAAACAATGAACCCATTCAGGATCCTGTAGGTGCTAGGCACGAACTGTGCCGGCAGTACTGACACCCGGCGGAGGAACTCCACAACGAACGGGTGCAAAGGGAACCGCAGACCAGCAATCAGGGCGTCCATATGCACCAACACACATCCCGGACGGTGTCGCATGGGATGTTTGATGAACCCCGCATTAAACTGACGGGGTGGAGGTAGTAATTGGCGCAGCGTCTGTTCGGCATCTGCTGGAAGGCGTTGACGCTGTTTCCTGATGCAGTGGAAGTTCAAACTATAGCGAGGGGGGCGTTCAGGCATACCCCTTTCGTAGATGGCTAGGTCATCCCCCGACTGACATCCATCATCAGGGAGGGGCTGTTCGGGATAAAGTGGGGCAGAAGACCCGTTAGAACCCGACGATCGGGTAGATGTGCCTTGATCTTTGGGGTGGGCTTTTCCCCTCGAAAGGCGAATCAAAGTGGGTGCCATATCTTCGGAGTCTGACGAACCAGAAAAGGCAGACATTAATTGTGAATGACGGAGAAAGTTCTAGAGAGAGAAGCTTGAGAGAATTCAGAAGCAGCAGAAAAAACTGAAACAAAGTAGCTGCATCCTTATATAAGGAAATACAACCGCCAGGAATTCGAATGAATAATAGACACGTGTCAAGACGGTTGAGGGAAGTTAAAGCATCCTTTGAGGTGAGTGAACACCCGAACGGGGTTGAGATCAGCAGAATTCACGAACCTCTTAAAGCGTCTCCCCGGACGGGATAAGAGAAAAAGGCTACAAACGTTTTCCCCGAACGGGAAGGAAATTCAGCACGGTGATAAAATGATGGGCGTACCCGAACAGTATGGTTATCTAACATGGAAGAATATGACAGATGCAGACTGAACGGTTCATTATACGCAACATGTGTTAACAAGATTATCGAATCCTGAATTCTAGATTTAACGAGGAGAACACCCGAACGGGTTGAAATCAACAAAGTTCACGAACCTCTACGATTGAAAAAAAAAAAAAAAAAAAAAAAAAGAAAAAAAAAAAGAAGAAAAGGGGGCTACAAGCGGTTCCCCGAACGGAATACACCAAAATATAATGAAGAAATGATCGGTGTACCCGAACGGTATGGTTAACACTACATCCCGAATGCTGAAAACAATTACCAAAAAATTGACGAGGAAAGTACAGGAGTTTATACCCCGAACAGATGGGGAGAAAAAAAAAAAAAAAAAAAAAAAAAAACAGGAAGCAACATAGTTTATACTCCATAATGAACTATGGAGTTCATTATGAATGATATCGAATAAACAGGTCGATCAATATTTCTGGACTTAGCAAAGGGGTGACGCAAACCGGCAAATCTGATCGCTATAAACTATGGAGTCAACAGGAAGAAAGCAACAGGAAATGTATTACGAAGGCAAATTGATGGGTGAGAAAACAAGTATGGAATACAGGAAAAGAAATTACAAAGACAGAAGTTGCAAAACAAGTTGTGTATTCATCGGCTCTACTGGCCGGAAAGTACAAAAACTACTGATTCAAAGGAAAGTAAATACAGATAATGTCTAATCTACTGCTCGGGGTGATCTTCATCATCTTCATCATCATCTTCATCAGCCTCATCATCAATTTGCACCACCTCCATCCCCAGGGCTCGCCGGCACTTTTTCATCTGTGCCATTAGGGCGTTCAGATGGCCCGGATGGAGGTCAGAGGGCAAGTCAGAGGGCTGCACCGAACGGCCCATTTGTTTTTCCAGGAGGGGGAGGAGAGGCTGGAGCATGTGTTGACAACCTGAGTTGTAGACTCCCCGGGCAAGATTATCGGCCCACTCCTTGGTGATAGGGTGCTGATCAAGCACCCTGACCCCCTCCTTCTGGCGCTCTTCCCCGGCCAGTTTCTCCAGGTGCCTTCCGAAGACAGCAGGGAGCTGTTCGGTGGCATATTCTTCCTTTAGAGCCAGAAACTCCTCGGAAGCTTTGAATTGATCCCGAACGGCAGATAGATCAACTAACATTTCAGCCGGGCCGTCCGGGATTTGAGGAGGGGCCTCAGAAAACTTGACCTGAGCGGCCTCAGCTGCCGCGATCTTGGCCTGGAGAGAGCCCACCTTCACACGAAGCTCCCCAGCCTCAGCTTCTAGCTTCCTCCGCTCCTCGGCAAAAGCCCGGCGTTCGGCCTCTGATGCCTGTTCAGCCGTTTCCTTGGCCATCAGCAGCCCTTGTTCCTTGGCCTGCCTGGCCTCTCTGAGTTTCAGGCTGTAGATCCCTACCTATTGATCGAGTACAAATAAGAAATGAGAACCTGGTAAATTAATGAACAACCGAAAAAAAAAGAGAGGTGATAAGAAGTTACCTTCAGGGCAGCCAAGGCAATACACTCTTCGGCCTCCTCGACCGGCATCGGAGGAAGGTTATGCCCATTGAAGAAGCCCGATGTGGACCAAATCTGGCTTGCTGGACAGCCTCCCCTTTCCAGCATTCCATGAGCGGGATCTTGAAGGGAGATCTGCTCAAACTGGCTCGCCAAATCAGCCTGGTTGGCGGCCAGTTCCTCAGCGGAAAAGTGGTGAGACTGCTGATCAGAGAAGAGCTGATCCATTAGCATATCAGCATGTGAAGATTGTTGTTCAGGGGCAACCTGCTGCACAGGTTCTACATCCCGAACAGGTTCAGACTGCTCGGGGACGATGGGGGCGGATTGGGAGGATGTCCCCTGATCGGCCTTCCTCAACCTCTTCCTCTTTGTCTTCCTCTGCTGCTTGGGAGGAGAGGTTGGTGGCTCATCATCAAAACCAACGGTAAAGAGCCTGCTGTCATCCATTGCCGGCGGTTCGGGGTTGTCTCCTTCGGAATCTGAAGATTCGCCTTGCTTCGGAGCTGAAAAGACAAAAGGAACAAATTAGTACCGAGCGGTTCACACGTGGATTAAAAAATTATATCACACGGGAAGGACCGCCCGGGCCATGGTACTTGGTTTTCAGTCAAGTAAGTCCAGGAATACGGGCAGTACCTATCCCGGCTTTAATAAGCCGTTCGGGAGTCAGATATGGCATAATCTGGAAGCAACCGCCCGCCTCCACAGCAATGATATCCTGGCTAAGGTCTTCAGAGATAAACGGTTCGGGGGACTTTGGCGGAAAGGCGTTCCACTTTCTTGGGATCAGGCCGGTTGGGACAGATACAAAAAAGAACCGATCTTTCCATTCCTTGATGGAGGAGGGAGCCTTGGAGAACAAAATATGACCCGATCGGGAACTCGCGACGAGATAACCCTGGGCTTGTTGTGGGATGATCGAGAAAAAATAGTGAAACAGATCTAAGGAAGGGGTCACCTTAGCTTCCACGCAACGACAAATAAAACCAGCCATTGCCCGGTAGGAGTTCGGCATTATTTGGGCTGGCACTATATTATAATAATTTAAGAGGGAAACGAAGAAGGGGTGAAGGGGGAACCTAAGGCCGGCCTTAAGGGAATCAAAATGGACCACGACCATCCCTGGGAAGTGGCGCATTGGGTGGAGCCCCGATTGGAGGCGGAAGTTCACCGAATCAGGAAGTAACATCTGGATTTGGGCCCGGTTCTGGGCCATGAGCTTTTGGCGCCTAAGCCTAATCAGGGCTAGGTCAAGCTTATGACAGGAAACGCCGCTTGGAGGACCGGCTTTCATAACTTCCAATTCATCCCCCGATTTGGTGCCATCAGGGTAAACGTCGGAGGAAGAGGAATCATCACCGTTAGCTTCCGCCGGAATAGGGGCAACTTGCAGCACATCGTTGGGGTTTTCCTCTGGGATTGCGGTGCCGGAAGTAGAGGGTTCAGATGAACGAAGGGGTGCCATTCTCACCGAACGAGGAAACTAAACAGTAGAAGGAGGTTCGAAGGATACCTGAACAGAAGCAGCGGAAGAAGCTCTAGAGAGAAGGCAGAGTACTGAGCCGGAGATGCAAAGTTTCGAAACCCAGAGTCAAAACCAGAGGAGCCTATTTATACTCTGTCACGCCGATTCAGCTGCCAATCAGAAGAGGACACGTTTTTTGTAATGATGACAGAGACACGTGTCACACAGAGAATCCTTCTCAGGTAATCATGACGTTTATCGGAGAAGTGAAACGGCAGTTGCAAATACCCGTCAAAATATGCCTCGGGAACCGGCGGAATGCCATCCGATACTCACCCGAACAGCATTCGGGCAATAATCTTCTACTTCCTTATGCTCTCACTACCGTTCGAAACATAGGAAGTGGGGGACTAGTGTTGGGATATTGGGTCCAGGCCCAATATCCCTAGGCCCAAATCCAGGAAGAAACAGCGGGCCCAAGGCAGTCCAAAAGAACTCTCGAACGGCATTCGGGATAAAAGTTATACTTGGAACATTCCAGGAAAC